TCAATTTTTATAATAATAAAATCAATATTAAACTTTGTTGTATATATAGTTTGAATATTTAAGTAATTGAACAACCCGTGATTCCAAATAATCTAATAAAATGAATAAACTTTTAAATTCGAATAAACTTTTTAATATTAGTATTAATTCGAATTAAAGGTCAACTGTATTACGAATAATTCGAATAAGAATTTGTATTACGAATAGAAACCCTAGAATACAAACACTATAATAAACTCCCTTTTTAAAGCTGAATTGAATGGTGGTGGGTTTTTTAAAAATCCGATGTGTAGATCACATAATATTTTAAAAATTTTAAAATTGAACGAAAATCTGCTCGATTGACATATATTACACTGCCAAAAAAAAATTTTTTTTTCATAACTTTTTTTTTATTTGGTACATAGAATAAATCTTAAAGATTTGTTTTTTCTAACTTTTATATTGGTATCGCCAGATTCCAAGGATTTTACATATAAAATTGAAATATTAAAAAGCATAGAGAAATTTATTTTTTTGTTTTTGTTTTGTACTAAACATATATATACAGTTCACTCTCTCTATAACGAACACTCTGTTTCTATATGTAATTTCTCTGCTTTTGGTCGTTATAGAGAGAGTTTATTAAGATGGTCGTTATAGAAAGAGAAATTAATTATAAAAAATTGAAACGGGGACAAAAGGGAAGTTCGTTATAGAGAAATTTTACTTAGTGGTCGTTATAGAGAGGGTCGTTATAGAGAGAATGAACTGTATATAATATGGGTTTTTATTGCGAAAAACCTTTTAAACAATAAATTTATGCCTAAAGCTTAGTTTTTTTATATTTAATATAAATATATCGGTCATTATCTTTTATTAAAGCTCTTATGATTTGTTATAAATAATATCCATAATATATACTAGAATAAATATAAACTTTTAGGAATAAAAATTACTATGTTTTTATGTGTGTGTTGATATGCGTTATGGTTTTAATTATACGGAGGCGTGAGATTCCATTTTGAGTGGAAAAAATTGCATTTTATTTCAGTTCACGTGAATCCGTTATAGGCAGTGTTGATTTATATGTAAGTCATATGAAGTGATTTTCAAATACAATCCGTTATACGTAAAAAGTTTAATTAATATTAATATTAATAGTATCCGTTATAGAAAGAGATTTCAAATTAAAATAGTAAAAAATCGGATCCAAACTTATAATCCGTTATTAGTCATTCAATATAAATGTTACACGAATAAAATTATAATCTCCGTTTTTCATATAGCAAGCGATTTTCAACCATAATAAAATTTTTAGAGCCAGATTGGGACTTAACAACAGTTAAAAGAAAAGGCCAGCTTAAATATTGGTTATTATACACTAGGTCAGAAGCGTTTCTTTTCTTCACACTTATTTCAAGATTTTCTTATAACTAGGACTAAATAAATTGAATTAAAATTTTTAAGGGTAGGCTCCATACAATAAAGTTACACATATGTTAATTAGTACCGATCGCGGGATTTTAAATTTTAAGAATTTAAAAAACTTGTGACTAGTACAAGTCTTTTAACCAGTCAAACAAAATTTGCGAAAAAAACTTATTAATTAATTAAATATGTTATTTATATTATGAAAACATTTTTTGTACTTTTTATACTCTCTTAAAAAAGTTTTATATTAAGTAAAAAAAAATTTTTGATTGCTCATCTTTTTTGCATTCTACTCATTCTGCCACTACTATTTATCTACATATGAGTTATTGCATGCGGAGCATGCAATAATGGAAAAATCAGAATGATTGCTGAGTTTAAAATAGTGGCACGTAAGTGACATTATTTTAACAACCATTCAATCTTGGCGTAATTATTGCATGCTTCTGTATTCAATAACTGGTTTATTGTATGTCCGACTATGAAACATTCCAAAATTTCCAGATGGAAATTTTGGAATTCCAGACATGCAATAATGGAAATTTTAGCATGTCACATTTCATAGAGACATACAATAATAATAGAATTTTATTGTACCAAAAATAAAATCAATCAGATTTTTTTATCACTTGTTCCTTAAACCTTGTTTCTATAAATGGAAATTGTTTGGTGGACAAAAATAGGGATAGTAGGATCTACACCCGCGTAATTTACTTTATATGTGTTACACATGGAGCCTACTCTTAATTGCGATTATTATTTTTTTCAATAATTAATATTCCGAATTTGTAAAAACTGCTTTAAAATGTCTATATGTAAAAAGAGGCTTTTTTGTGTGATTTGATCTGTACAAGCTCCTTGACTCATTCAATTTCAATTTCACATACAACAGTTCATACATTACATGTTTTCGAATTAAATTTAAATTTACATATTAATAAAAAAAATTCAACTCATTATAAAATGAATTTACTCACGAATTTTTTTTTTTTTTGATTTTAGAAAATTTTTAAAAAATGTTTTCATTAAAAGAAATCATTTCAGCATTTGCAACAATATTATTTATAACAATAATTTTTTCATCATTAAAATATTATTACAATTATTTTACTCGTCCAAATCCTTATAAAGGGCCTTTTCCTTTACCATTATTAGGAAATTTACATCAACTCTTTTATCATCGTTTTAATACTCCATTATGGTTTCACTCATTACATTTAAAATATGGTGATGTGGTTGAAATTTACAATGGATCTAAAAGACAATTGATCACTAACAATCTACAAATCATTGAACATGTCATGAAGCCAGTGAGAAATAATAATTACATGTTACGTTTTCCACCTAATGAAGGACTAGATGCAATGGGAAAAAGCACCAAGGGAATTGTTCTGAATAGAGACATAAACAAATGGGCCGATAATAGAAAAATACTCACTAAAGCTATAACGGCTCCAAATGTATTAAAGTTTTCAGCTAATATTGCAAATCGTGTTTTTAAAAACTTAGAAATTTATTGGGATTCTTTAATTGATGAAATGGGAGAATCTATTACGAATCAAGAAATTCATCAAAAAAAAGTATTGGAAATTGATCTTGTGCCTTGGATTAAAAGAACTTTCACTGAAAATATAATGTTATTAACAACAAACAGACCATCTAATATATTATTGAATTATTATAAAATCAGTAAAAAAGATTCCAACATAATTAAAACTGCTGATGATGAATATTTAGATGGTTCAAAAGATGCACTAGTTTGTATGAGATATTATGCAATGGTTCCTTCATATATACGCAATTTGCCATTGATAAAGATTTATTCAGATTATTTATTAAACAAATATTCATCAAGAAAAGAATATCTTTACAATTTAATCAATGAACATAGGGATAAAATTGAAAATATTAGTGATAAAGAAAACCTGACACCTGATATGTTGAATATGTTATTAACTATTAATA